GCCAATACTGATGACCAGGGGGTGGGGCAACAGGAATCCACTCCAAGCAACAGACTTATCAGATTCTACTTTTTAACAGTAACTCTAGCAGGGCTGTGTAAGATATACTGGAGTGGTGGGACCAGGGGTAGGGAAACCACTTTGGCTTCTGCCACCTCTCAGAAGAGATAACCGTGGCCCAAAAAGGAAGAGAGAGCAGGCTGAAAAGACACTTTGTAAACAGAATAGTTGATAGGACTTAGGTTAGGCTAGCGAAAAGAGGTGACAGGACTGTCAGACAAGGAAGGAAGGATGAGCACCGGAAGGAAAATCCAGCAAAGCACTGGAGCTCCAAGTTCAGTTTCTGATATGCTGAGCTTAATGGTGCCTATGACCCAGGCCAACAAGGAGACCAACAGCAGGAAGGAGGAGCTGAGATGCTCTGCTGGCCAAACAGAGCAAATGACACTCCGACCCGCTCTGGATTCTGGGGAGTAGGACCATTGTGAATCGTGTTTCTATAAGTGACTGTATACATTACTGAGCTCTCCATGGGTGGCCTCAGACGCTGTGAGTAAGCTCACATGATCAGCCCAGAGTGGTTTGGTAGAGTGGGTTGTCCTGGGGGCGAGGAGGGGTTTGTTTTCTTTGTGGCAGGCTGCAGCTAGACCGAGCTGCCTGAGGACATCTGCTCTGCACTGTGGAGCAGGGTGGAAGTAGGCTTGTGGGGACATGTTATTCTCACAGGCTCCAAGGACAGAGGACTTCTGCCTCCAAATTCCCCAGTTCCTCTTGGGTAGGACGGTGTAGTGACAAGTCAATGGTGATAAAAATAAGCAAAATGAGAATTAAGTTTACATTTAAAAAAAAAAAAAAACGTAATAAGATGTTCCAACATCATTTCTAACTGGCGATAGTATGCAACAAGACCCTAGAAGCTCAAAATCCCTGTTTGGTTGCCCACTCTTCTGAAGGAAGGTCGGCTTTTTACAGGTGGGAGCCTTTCTTTGTTATAAGATGTTGAGCGGATTGAAAATAATGCGTAACCTATTTAATAGTCAAGGTGAGGACGGTGGGAAGGACAGAGGTAGAAGCAGGCAGACAATGCCAACAGAACTATCTCAGCTGGAATGAAGGAAGCCCTAAGGAGCAATGGGAGAGGCAGAAGCCCGGGAAATGAGCCTCAAAGAGCCCCAGCAGACGAAGAGAAGCCCCACTACCAAGGCGAAAGGATGCCTGAGTCAGGACCTTCACCGCAAGCGTGCTTTACTGGAAGAGGTCTGTAAGCACGCAGCCTTCCCTCCCGCAGAGAGTGAGGCAGGCGGCCCGCACAGGGTCTGCACAGCTGGGCGTCCCCGGACAGGCCGAGTGCTTCCACAGGATGGGTCGTTCAGTTCAACATAATCCACCCAGCAGGAAGGAGGGAAGCATGTTTACAGATTCTTTTTTTTTTTTCTTTCAAATTATCAGAAAGTTTATTTAGAAAGTTACAAAGGTAGAAGTGAGCTGTAGAAGAAAGGGGCTCCAGAAACACGTTACAGCAAAAGAAGGGCCCTTGGAGCTTAGGCGAGTCCACGCAAAAAGAATATCTGAGCAGGCGTGCTTGGGGAGGGGCGGGGGGAGCAGGAGCCTCTTCACAGATTCTTAACTCTTCCACAGGCCACCTCTCCCCACCACATACAATGTATTTTTCAATATAAACATTTAAGAAGGAATATCAAATGTCTACAAACCAGCAAGCTAGGTGTGTGTGTGCTGCCCAAGCAGCGCGTGTGGAGCCCGGGACTGGGGCTGCTGACTGAAACGGAGCGGGCCCTGCTGTAAGAAGACCATAAATGAACTCTGGGTAGCGTGGTGGGGTGAGGGACAGAGAGCCTTCCCCAAACCCAGACAAGAGCCTTGGGAATTAGGAGAAGATTTTCTAGTCATTAAAGTAAGTGATGGGGACTATTCCTTTGTGACAGCTGAAAATAACCCCCCTCCTCCCCCAACAAACCCTCAGCCACCGGCCTCCAGGCCCTTTTAGGGGAGGCTTCTATAGCTGACAGCCCTGCTCTCTCTTCCTGGGACTTTCAGAGCAGGGCACTGAGGAACCAAAACTACCTAATTAGCAGCAGGGCTATTGTCCAAATACGGTTAGCATTCTGGGGGAAAGAAAAGCCTGGTCCTTCCCAGGAAGTGTGTGAGGGTAAAGGCGCAACTGAGAAAAGAAGTAAGAAAAGCAGACTAGTCGCATCGGTGACGGGAAGCCAGATTCATGAGTCAAACATCCCTCGAAGGAAACTTGAAAGCTATGAGATCTGGGAAGGGTGCTCACGAGAGGTGGACTGTTTGATCCTAAAGCAACAGTGCCTCTAAACCAGCGGTTCTCAACCTGTGGGCCGCAACCCTTTGGGGATCGAACAACCCTTTCACAGGGGTCGCCTAAGACCATCGGAAAACACATATATAATTACATATTGTTTTTGTGATTAATCACTATGCTTTAATTATGTTCAATTTGTAATAATGAAATTGGGGGTCACCACAACATGAGGAACTGTATTAAAGGGTCACGGTATTAGGAAGGTTGAGAACCACTGCGAAAACAATAAAAAGGCATGAAAGAGCAGAGAAACCTGTGGTCAGCAAAGTATCTCTGGGGGTGGAGTTAGAGATACCTTCTCTTTGTTTTTCCTTTTTGATTATCTGTACTTTCTAAATTTTAAAACCAGTACTTAGGCTCATTAGTAGTTTACCAGGTGGACAAAAGGGAGGCATGCATTTCGGGCAGACAGTAGAACATAAAAAAAGAGACACAAAGCAGCACAGGGCAGCAGGGATCCCGGGGTTCAGTCTGGCTGGACGGCAGGTGTGAGTGTGAAGGGGAGGCTGGAGAAGGGGCTGTGCCCGAACACAAAGGGGCCGCACACCAGGAGAGGAATCTGGGGTTACTCTATTGGGAACTGGGAGCAGGGAAAGTGATGACGGTTCATCAACAGATTGCTTTACACGAGAAAACAGCTCCTCCTCCTCCTTACCCCAGGGCACAGCCCAGTGAAAAGTACTGTTCTGAAACTCTAAATGGTCTTTTTTGACAAGATGAGCCTGAGACCAAATCTGATTACCCAAATGGACACAAATGTAATTGGCAATTTTAAATGACAACTTAACACTATGGTTTCTCAAGCTTATTCAATGGATGAGCATCCAGAACTCACTTTCCTATCAGCTCTGTGCAGAGTAAGAAAGAAGAGTGGAGTTGCTGCCCGGCCGGGCCATGGCCTCCTGCGGAAGCCCACGGGCTTGTTCCTTAGACACAAAGCTGCACTGAGAGTTTTCTCTTTGCCTTCCCATGTCACGTCCGTACGTTCAAATGATGCAAAGCAAACTGTTCATCCAGAAATAATTCCAAATATGAAAAGGTTTACACTTAGGATATAAATGTAAATATTTATCCTTTAGGACGACCCCCGTTTTTCACTTTTTCTTTTGAAGATGGTAAACATTTCATCAGGTTTCCATCTTCAAAGGAAATGACACTAGAGGGACAAGGCTTTTCCAAGTTCCTGCTCTGGCTGCTCTGAAAGGGGAGAGGAATGCCCAGGAAATGGGGGAGAAAGCTTAAAATGCGGGACACTGGCGCGTGAGGGCCCCCTCTCCTTTTCACCTTAGGTCTTTTCTCTCCCCCATTCACAGCTCTGGGTCCTTTGTTTGTTTAACAAACCATTACAATTATACCCAGTTCAATGGGAGGAATGCGTACTCTCTGAGTAGCTGTCTCCCAATCCACATGTGTGGTCCATCCCACAGCCCATAGCAGGCAGCTTCAATGTGCCGTTCTGTGCTCCAGTCGCCCTGGAGGCCGGGCACCCTGCTCACAATAAGCCCCAATTTCCCGTGGCCGCATGCTTGCTGCTCCTTCCCAGTAGCCTATAGAGATGCTTCAAGTTGGGCTTCCTTTCCTGCTCCCCGAGCGACTGCACAGTCCGTCCTGCCTGAGCTTGTCCCACTCTGCACCTGTGTCTCCCGCCCAGTGTGTTAGCTGCCCCTTACCTGTCCTCAGCCCACAGACCCACCACCAACTACTGGGCAGACACACTCCAGGATCCTGCTGGTCATCATGCCCAGTCTTCTAATGTCAATCACATGGGAACAGAAGTTACAAAGGCAAGATTCCCTGAGCCCCGCCTCATTAGCACTGCTAGTGCCTCTCTTGGCTGCTAGTAGATATACTGGCATGTTGGTATGGATTTCAATTTCTTGGCCAATAAATCAAAATATTATTTAGTAAGAACATTATATTTCAAACGGAACCTAAATAATATTTAGTAAAAGAATAACTCAGTTGAGCTCATAAAGCCCTCTCGTCTAATAATTCTATTCTGTCTAATAATTTCCATCAGCCAGCCCTGTGAAAGGGGCAGAAAGTCACTTTCATTCCCATCTAACAGGTGAGGAAACTGAGGTACAGAGACTGAAGTTCTTTGCCCACAGGCACCGATGATTATGATTCTGGAGTCCTAGGACTACTGGGATGTGGCCAGCATCTTCCTCCGGCTTATCAGTCAACATCTTCCACAAAGGGGAGGGCAACCTTTACACATCCCCTCATGTGCACAAGTTAGGATGTAGACGGGGCAACCCTAAAGCTTCGGAACTGACAGGGTTGCCAGCAGAAATGCCATGGATCTGCAGGTGCTACGGGGAATGTGTGTGTGTGTGTGTGTGTGTGTGTGTGTGTGTGTGTGTGTTGTGCGTGTGTGTAGGGGGGAGGGGCAGACAACAGAGGGTGTGGGTGTGAAAAGTTGCTAATTGCATCCTCTGATTCCCTGAAATACAGAGTGTACGAACAGAAAAGGTCAAGAATTCTGTCCTAAGATTACTTTTGTGATTTGAAAGGGAAATGTCTTTTTATTCTCTACTAAAACCCCTTGAACCTCCCGCATGTCCTTGACTAATTTTACTATGTGTTTCCAAGCAGTTATCAATAGACATGCCCACACAGAAATAACGTTTAAAAGCGACGGTCACTTGCATACCTGCTGGGTGTCAGCGTTCAGGCGGTCCTGAGGCCCTCTCAGAAGTGTGTGAGGAGTCACACCTGTGAGGAGAGATCTCGCAGGTCGTCAGTGAAGGAAGCTGGGGGAACATTCCCCCACCCCCACACCAAGGGAGCCTCCCTCCGAGAGCCCACACCACACACTCAACTGATGACATGCGGAGGACATGTTCTACTGCTTGTTAACATTTTCCATGCGTTTTAACAAAGGATCCATCAATTTTAAACTTTAAAACCCTCAAGGCCTCAATTGATCTACCACCCTTAACTTTAAAATATCTCAGAAATACCACATGGCAAAAGCCTTAAAACATGTGTGTCATCTGATATATTTAAACAGTGTCATAAAGTTCACAATGTTGCAACTTAGAAGATTTTCAGTATTTCATATAATCTTGCCCAAGAAGACCTTTAAGTATTTCCATTATGTCCTTTGTCCTACTTACAACTGGATTAAAAAACCCCTGAAATCTTCCCCTGCTTTCTGCAAGTAGAAGAAAAAACAAAAAACAAAAAAACTCATGCAACTGCTTACATAAAAATATTCAAAATAGCACTGAGAGGAAATGGTATTTTTTTTTTAAATCAACGGTATTAGAATACCATAAAACAGGCATGCAAATCTATGCAATAACAAAACCTGAAACAAATGATGAACTGGAAAAAGTCAGTAATAACTAGTAGGCATTCATTTCTAACAAAAGCTTTATATAAACGTCTAGATTTATCAAATGGGCTGAAGGCTCCTATCTGAATAGACAATTCGGTGGTCAGCAAACCTGGCTATGTGTTAGAATGCCGGGGAAATCTTTGGCACAGGATGGCACAGCGTCACTAGGGCCCTGGGATTCATGTTTTTACCAAGTCTTCAGGGCCCAGGCTGCAGCCGGCTTTGTACTACTGATCCCTGATGAGCATCTAAAAACCGGTATCTCTGTTCACCAATTAATTATAAAGCTTGGCTTCTTCCAACTAAGACTCTTCCAACCCGTTGATCCTCTTAGGTGAAAAGCTTTTCAGGATTTTCTTGCCCAGTACAAAGGTAAATATATTATGAAACAAAGCCAATTAGAGATCACCTAACTGATTTTTTCACTTGGTTGCCTCTTAATTTGATAAAAAAAAAAAAAGCTGTTTATTTTGCATGAAAACATCCTTTTTAGTTAAAATCAGAAAAATGCAGGCCATTGTAGACAACTAAATCTTTAAAATAACCTGTCACAAGTCAGGAAAAAAGCGGAGGTGAGTAGGTTGTCCGAATCATCCAGGGAATTTGTTTTAAGTGTATTCCTCACTTTGCATGTATAAACGCTTCACAAATCATCTTCATGGTCCGTCTCTCCTCTGAAAATACTCAACATTTATCGTGGTCTCCAAAGGCCTGGATTACATCTTTTTTTAAGGGCTTTAGAAAACATGAGAGTGAAATTCTTCTGGATGATTCTTCCTTTGCTCCCACCCGTCTCACCACAGACAATACTGCTTTATGCATCCAGGGAGGCGAGGCGCGCTTCTGCTTCCCTAGGAAGGGGGCACGTGACACGAAGTACGCAAACCAGGCAGCGGAGTAGCTTAGCTTCATTGTCAAAATATTCAAATGATCACTACGAGAAAGGGATTCCTTTCTGAATTCAACAATACTCCTCGGCCTCCGAGGGCTCACACAGGAGCTTATTCTTGAGCTGTTCAATGGGAGCAGCACTAGTGAAAGCGGAGAACCCTGGCTGGGAGGGGATCAAGTCCCTGGCCTTTCCCACCTGCCATCTCAGCACCGGCCTAACGCTTACATAGTTAACAATGTCACGGAGAACCTGACAGCACGCACGGCCCTGGGGGGATCCTGGGCGGCAGAGGACAATTGAACACAGCAGAGGAGGGACAGTTCAGAAAAAGAACACATCTAAGGCTGACAGGATGCTACTTGCAGACTGCTTTCCAGGTCTGAATTTAGATTTCAAAATCAGAGAAAAAGGTTTTAATATGTCAATTAGATTAAAAAGTGGTCATGGTAAGAAAAAAAAACCGAACCTCTAACATTTAACATTCCTAAATACAAATGTTTCTGAGCTCCCTAGGGGCAAGAAAAATCACATTTTTCTAGGAATGACTGGCACACGGCAGCCAGATTAATTCTAGTTAATGGTTTTAAATAAACGGGAAAATATTTGTGGGTAAATGATCTGTTTCTTCATTGGTGACAAAAACTACAGTTTCATGAATCTATGACTTCTGGAATGTACTTTTCGGTTGTCACAATATGTTTTTCTAAGCATTTATTGCTGAGAGCAGCTTAAGAACACGTCTTTTCTGTTAATGAACTGGTTTAACCGCCTGCTGAGCATTCACTGAAACCCGAATTGAACAAAGGGATTTCCCTCCAGTTTCAGCTCATTCACTTCTAGCTACTCCTGATTTTGCTTCAGTAAATTCTTCAGATTGACTTTGTTTTTTATTTCTAATGATTTGAGTGGGAAAGAACTGGGCAAGCCCCAAACACTGGGGATTCTGCCTTGGTTTTCCATGAAACACTCATGTAGGCAGATGATGGACAAGACTTGTTTCTGAAAAGCCTGTCAACTAAGTTTTTTATTTTATTTCCTAAAGCCCATAATTCCCAATGAAAAGGAGCCGAACCCTATAGAGTAGACTGCAGACAACAAAACCTTATTTCAATGAGGTGGACCACAGTGGACAGCAAGACTGTGTCTCTGAAGTGAAGACCCTCAGTGGGATATTCACATTCCCACCACACAGAGGAACATGCTGCAAAGTGTCACCAGAAATGTGAACAGACCTGGCCCTCTACCTTTTCTCACAGTCCCTGGGGGACCTTGTTCATTACCCAAAGTTTCAACTACTCCTGGAGGTCACAGGCCTCCCAAATATCTACCTTCAATTCTAAACTTTCAAATTCCAGACAAACCCATCTACCTACCTCTCACCTCGATGTCCCGCAGTGCGCCCGGAAGGTCACCTGTTCTAGAGCAGGGGCTCCACGCAGGGCTAACTCTAGACTCGCGGCTCCTCTTCCAAAATTACAGATTTCAGCCACTGGCGCCAACTATGCAATAACAGCTAACATGTATTGGATGCTCACAGGGTGATGGCCATTGTTTTCATCACTTTACTAAATGCCCTCAACAACCATACGAGTAGGAGGTATTAACCCCATTTTACTTTTGGGAAAACGGAGGCTTAGAAGTTGTACTAAGTTGCCCAGCCAGCAGCTAAGGTGGTGTGACGTGAGTGTCTACGTTACTAATCAGTCTCTTCACCGTGTCACTTCCCAGCCTCTCCAGGGTCAACGTCTGGAGTCACATTAGGTTTTCTCTCTGACTAAGCTGAGCTCTAAGATCTGTGAGCTTTTAGTCTCTCAATCTGTTCCCTTCTCTTTGTGTCCAGGGCTGCCACTGTGTGGGCGATGTTTGCCCTTCCTGTCGGCCTTATACCAGCACGGCAGGACAGCTCTGGGACTTCACCTTGTCCTGCCAACAGTTTTCCTTTCTAGCTCGGTTTTCCTTTCTAGCTCATTTCTAGCTCTAACAGGCAACAGGCTTTGTAAATCTATGTGTGTTAGCCCAGATGATGGCAGAAGCAGTCTGTTTTGAACATCTAAGCCCAATGAGGAGATTCTGCCCAATGTCTAGTGGGGGAGAAGGTGAGGGTGGGAAAGAAGGCAAGAAAAAGACACTTTCCCTCCTTTCTCCTGCCCCGGGCCTGGGGAGGAAGAGGAGCATTTTCAGCTCCACTGGTGTCCCTGAGGCTTCAGGAGACCAGGGCTGTGATGTGCCAAAGGCGAGAGGCAAGTCCCTGGCCTATCAGGTATGGGGAAATCTCCAGGTTCTAGGCCATTCCCTAGGAGGGAAGGGGAGCACCTAAAAATGACTGCCGTGAACTTTCCCTAGTGGTTGGCCAGGTTGGGGCTAGAATGTGAATTAAGGCCGTTATGGGGAATAAAGGAGGGGATACTTCCTGCATACTTGAAGTTGGGGAGCCAGACACAGAGACTCCCCGGTGCCTCAACCAGGTGCTAAGACTTAGGCTAGTGCACATCTGTGCTCTGGACTCGCTGCCCATAACCGGAGCCAGACTTCTTTGCAAAGAAGGCCTCCGCCCTGTTGCAGAGAGAAGCTTGGACCGGCCAGCTCTTTAGAAACCCCAGGGGGCAGATAGAGAAGGAAGGAAAGAAGCAGATGTTAAGACTCTACTCACAGGATTAACTCCTCTGACTCCTATGCAAATACCTAGGAAGGGAGAGGCAAAGAAAGTTATCATGAAGGCCTTTATATTAAACTCCAAATTGCTTAAAAACCAAAGAAACTAACAACAACTGGGAAGTCAACCAGGAAGAGGAGAGGCCAGTGTGCCATGCTGAGGCACAGGACAGCCAGCTCCCCAAGCTTGCTTGTGTCCCCAGCCCCGCATGCTGGGACGGGGACTGGGGCCGTGGGCTTTCAGAAGGTAGAAATGACAGTGTGGTGGAAATGAGGTAGCTTTGGGGAGAGGCGAGTCCCACCCCAAGAGAAAGGATATGAATCCTTAATGTGACAAATTTGTTGAACCACAGATGTGACAGTAACTATAGGTACTCGTGGCACCAAATGAAATGTCTAAGAGGGTCCAGACTTTGAGGTCAGTCATGTCCTCAAAGCAAAGCCCTTTTAGTTTATGGCTAAGTGAGCCCTACGGATGAGGCTTACGAGGGCCCCACTGAAAACTGGAGAGGACTCATGACATGGAAGCCACTGTTCAGAGACCAGGACTTTTAGAACAGAGCTTGGGCAGGAAGAAGAACTTCAATGTACAAGAGTCAGTAACCAGGGAACCCCATCTTCCTGTCACACAGGCACCCACTAAGTCTGCCCAGCATGTGGGGTGCACGTCCAGGGGGGAGTCGGACCTGGGAGAGGAGGACCTGCCTGGGAACCACATGCCCCGGTGTGGATGCAAAGTGTGCCAAGACGGTGCCCCCTCCGCTTTGGTTTTTAGGAAGCTGAGTAGTTTGTATTAAATCGTACCCAAAAAGAGAACTTGCAAGCAGGGAACATGGAAGCGAGGGTGTGTTAAGCAAGCAGGGAACATAAGCAGGCAGATGTTAGGAAAATGGCAGCAACCGGAGCGTGGGCCACTCTGGCCTCACAAGGGTCTGGCCTCTGTGGACACTTGCCTCCCTTCTCACACCAGACACATGTGTCCCAGGAGGGAAGGGGGAGGAGGAGGCAGTTAATGAACACTCACATGGCCCATCCCCAACCCCCACCGCCTAACATGGGAACCACTACTTTCCAATCTGTGGCACCCCAAAACTAGATGGGGGTGAGGGTGAGGGACGGTGGGAAGGTACGCCCACTCTATTGGCCAAAACTCAATTTTCACGGGGTTTCCTTTAAACCTACTACCAGCCTAGTGAGTAAAGAGCTCGGAGTCAAGTTAGGTCAGTGCAAAGAGACTGAGATCCCTACTGGCTGCTCGGTCTGTTTTTGGATTGTTTCCCCTTCATCCTAATCCTAATCACAATCTACTGTCAGAGTGATCCTTCTGCAAGCACGTATGTTCCTGTTCTCGGCTCTTTGGAATCCTTTAAGGGCCCCATTCGTTTTCTGTCAATTGCAACCAAGAGTCCTGCACAATCAGAACCACTGCAAGGTTTTCACCAGGAGAGCAGTATGCTCAGGCTTGTGTTGGGGAAAGAGACCTGAGACAGGAGACATACAGATTATGCTCCTGGATTTTATCCATTTTATTCCTTGAAATCAGTGACATGGTGAATTCCTCGCTGGGGGTGCAGGGTCGGGAATACACATAAAGGCAAAGGGAAGAAGTGCCTGAGCAATCTCAGGAAGATGGCTGGTGGAGCACTGGCTCCGCTGCGGGCCAGGTATGCAACCCGAGGCAGGTCCCCGAACTGCTCTGCACGGTGACATCTCCCCTTGTGCAGAGCTCTTACAAGATTATACAGTACGTGTGTCCATATGTACAAACAGAGGCCCAGTGACTGGGACAGAGTCTAAAGTATACGTACAAAGTAGACGGGTCTGTTAATAAGTGTCAAGAATGATTTTACAAACTGGGTTAAGTTCACAATTAGGAAAAAACATGCTAACCTGTTCCAGAGTACACTATCACAGAAAGAGTAGAAGTTCTTGATTCACTTCAATAATCTTTCTTTCATGTGGATAATCACAATACAATTAATTCCATTTCCTAACATGTACTTACAAAAGAAATTTCTAGTTTCCTGCATGCATTAAGTTTTATATGTCATATATTTGAAAGATTTCTAAATTATTAAGCAGCCAATTAAAAAATGGGCCGGCATAAATTGGTCTTACCAGTATTATAAAGTTACCCAAGTGACATATAGAAGTGATTCTGGCATTTTGGATATTGCTAGAATTTTCCTTTTGTGTGCGTTAGTGGGGAAGTGGACTAGTTTCAACTGGAATTATCTGGAGAGCAGGAATTTAAACACACCCATCTAAATATTCTCCTCGCTTTGGCCTTCCAACTGGAGCAGCTGTGGATAGCTTTTCTAGAAGTCAGCCCCAAGAGTAAAATAAATTTGGAAGCAGTTTATCTAGTGAGAGGCTTAGGGGGGGAAAAATTCAAGTGTAAGATGAAATATAAGAAAAGAACACTAAAACAGAAACAAAATTATGGCATATTACAGTCAAGGACATTTTGTAAAAAAAATGTTTGGAGAGAGGCCAAGAGTTATGGTTAAGCAACGCTGTTAGCACTAAAGCTGCAAAACAGGGGAGGGCTGCTTTAGGGTGAAGAAGGCAATGGGCTTAAACAGAGAACAACATGCATGCTACGTGGGAAAGACAACCAAAATGCTGAATATGAAATTTAAGGCAGGAATTACTATTATGAAATAGGTGTTTAATACAAATCGTAATCTCCAGATGTATGGAGAATGATAAGAGATAAAACTGTGACTCCTGCCAACCATGAGTTCCCTCAAATAAACACTGGATTTAGGGGCACTTATTTCCTAACACATATTTCACAACTTTAGGAAATTTGGACAGAACATATGCAAACTGAGAATCACCTCATATTACAGCCTTAGGAGCATGACTTAGAAACTCTGAATTGTAATGTATGTAACATACTAAATGTGATTCTACATGGAGGAAAACACCCCCAAATTTTCCCTGGGATTTGTTTGTTTTGTAAGATAAAACAATGCTAAAACATCTTTTTAAAATGTAAGGGAGTGGGATCACAAAGTTTCGAGTAAGCAAGTCATGATAAATAAAAGTCAACTGTATAAAAGCCCTTATACACAGCAGTGGTGTCCACTCTAACGCAGAGAGGACGGGACACAGACTCACCACTGACCACAGGCGAGCAGGCTGGGCAGGAGTCAGACAACCTGGCAGAGGCATACTAACCTGGCTAAGTCTGACGTACAGAGGAGTTTTAGATGCGAAACAGAGGCCACATCAAATGTAGAGCAACCCTAGAGGGGGGAAAATCAAAAGGTTAAAAAACAAGGCATGGAAAAAACACACATTGGTACTGTGTCAGTAGACATTTATATATGGAATACGAGTTCAGGAATGCCAGAATCAAAAAAAAAAAAATTTTCTCCATCAACATGCCACAGCGGCATATTCCAACATTCCAGAGGCACGCACACCTTTGAGTCCTTAAAGGATTTTTAGTTTTAGTTTAGGGATGTGGTTACAAGCAGGAGCTACGGCGCCAGAATGCCTAGATTCAAATCCGGGGGCCTCCTGGGGCCACTTAGAAACCTGGTGCAATCTGTTTAGTCTCCCCCTGCCTCCACTTCCTTGCCTGTAAAATGGAAATAATCATACCTATGGCACAAGAGCCCTTTGAGGATTAAATGAGTTCATCTGAGTCCAGTGCTTAACACCCGAGTGGTAAGCAGGGAGCCCTCGGGTATTTGCAGTTATTTCCCAGAGACCCTGACTCAAGTGAAAACACCTCACAGCCTTGAGCAGCTATCAGATGACAGACCTTTAAAAAAAGTGACAACTAAGAACACTATCCTTTGGGAAAGGCAATAAGTACTGAGGGGCTGAGGGTGAAGTGCCAATGAGGGGAGGAGGACTCTAGCAGCAAGGAAAGGCCACTAAAAGGCAAAACAAACAACAAAAACTCCAAAACAAGCAACAACAAAAAAAAACACCTTTGCTTAATTCCAATTTTGTTTTTCAAAGACAAGGCTGCTACTAAGAGGAGAAGCTGGAGGGCAGAACTTGTTGATAGCAAGCATACCCAGTAAAGGTATTTTTAATAATTCTATATTTCAGACTACATTTCCTGCATTTCAATCCAATCAGGAAGGAGATGTCTCCTTCCCAATGACTAGATAAGGCTTTATCTGATAGGTCTGGATGGATGGGAAGCCATCTGAGAGGGAAGGAACTGATATCTTTCTACTAGAAAGTTTGTTTATGGAAATAAACATACAAATACAAACACCTAACATATGCTGATCCCCAAACCTACATTGTGGGCTTGACTCCTAAATTATTACTACTTGGATATTATAGCAGTTTTCAGTCCTGAGGGGGAAAAAGCCTCTCTGATAGAGGACCATGTAGTGGAAGCTATCTGATTCTACAAACATAGCAAGAACGCCATTTGTAACTGCAGTCACTGCGCTGGCCTGTGTGCAGTTCTTTCTATCAACGCAGACAAAGATATGCCTCACTTCTAAAAGCTGAAACACCCCATGGAAAAGTGTGGCTTGATTTCCTACTTTTCCTTCCACCCTCCTCCCCTCCCTACTTAGTATCATGTCACACAAAATTACTTCCAGAAACTGGAAGGCTTGAGCGGCCAAGTTATAAAACCTCAGCGCTATGCTTACTGCTTTCTTATCTACAAGTTAATACTTATGGGAGTGAGAGTCTATCGATGATCAAGGCCATGGTGATTTTCCCATTTTGTAAGAAATCTAAAATCTCAGCAGAATCGCAAGCTGCTGAATCCACCACATTTGTATGAGCTATGAGAACGCCCATTCCTCTACAAAGTTGCTACCACCACTCCCAAATTTGGAAACCTATATTTTAAATTTCATCCCTATTTTTAATCAAAATAGAAAACCAAATAGATTTCTTTTTTTTTTTTTTTTTTTTTTTTTTTTTTTTTTTTTACAGAGAGGAAAGGAGAGAGATAGTTAGAAACATCGATGAGAGAGAATCATCGATCAGCTGCCTCCTGCACATCCCCTATTGGGGATGTGCCCGCAACCCAGGTACATGCCCTTGACCGGAATCGAACCTGGGACCTCTCAGTCCGCAGGCCGACGCTCTATCCACTGAGCCAAACCGGTTTCGGCCAAATAGATTTCTTTAAAAATGATCGTGGTGGTAAAAATAAAACAAAAATAACATGGATGAGTAAAATATTAACAAGTTCCTGTACTGTGTGCTTACTTACCTATCTCCCCTTCCCACCTCAATCATTCTCTAAAATTTTCCATTATAATTTTAAGATGTTATTTTCCCAAAGAATGTCATCAACCATTTCCCACTTAAAAAGAAATAGGTTTTAACTTAAGAGCTCAGAAATTGGGCTTGTTCTGGGTCCTGTAAAATCATAGCAGATGATCCTTAGAATCAAAATTTCCTTTACACTTTCACTGAGAGATGAAGGTGTTTGCTTCCTTTGATAAGGGGTTCATAACACATAGTGGTGGTAAATCTGGTTAAAGATATTGTCAAAGGATGATTTGCTTTGCATTATTTAACATTATACCACAGAATTAAATCATGTAAAGTGGAAGCTTTATCCATCTCAATCACTAAATCTGGTTAAGTGAAAGGCTACCCAACTCTAAATTGTAAGTTTTTTCATCTTGTTACTGAAAATGTCTAGACACTGTTTTGAGATTTATTTTTAGGAAAGAATATTAGAGAAGAGACCTTGGCTTTGAAGAGGACCACACCTCCCACTTTTTATGCTTCCTGTTCAAAGGCTGATGGACTGCCCGGCAAAAGTTGCCAAATCTAAACAACCATTTAATAATTCTCCCTGAAGGAAAGGTTTTAAAAGGCTATAGTGCCAATCAGGCAACAATAGATCAATCAGGTTTTCTTAAAATATAGTGTTTGCAGTTGAGACCTGGATAAGCAATTACATTCAAAGGAACGAGGAATGGGGAGCTATCAATCTCCATTCATCAGCAGGCATTCACGGATCCAGGAGGTCTGCGAGGCTGGGAGATATAAAAATGAATACTATACAGCTGCTGTACTTCCAGCTAAAAGAAGAACCTAAACAAAGATTTACAGGGCAATGTGTTAAGTGCTATACTATAGGTGTGCACAAAGGGCTGGAGGTCAAGGGAAGAAGCCATAAATTCTTCCTGGGAAATCAAGCAAGCAGGGAGATGTAAAAGGAAGGTCTGGTGTTGTTTCCTTGCGACAGACTCAAGACCCTTTCCTTACTCTGTTCTCAAAATAAGGCACTAACTTCAGGATATGAACTGTTCTACTTGTAAGTGCTATATGTTGGTTCATTTATGTTTGACACAGACTTTCAGTTAAAATATCCTAGGGATATAAGTTTTTTTAAAAATAAATGTGTTCTTGTAATATTCCCATGCAACACGCATAATCCAGAATGGCATGAATAGCTAGCTAGCAGTCGTGAAAGTTAGAAAGTTCAAAGATGTTTTGAAACATAAATGAACAGAAGACACACTCTAATGACTTAGTGTTACTATATTAATAATGACTTTTAAATATCACTTTTTTCTTCTTCAGGCAAAAAAATAAAAGAATCACCTGATTATATCATGGTGAATATTTGTCTTTCTCTACTTCTGTGTTTAAAAAAAGAACAGGGTGTTGGATCAACTTCTACTTAACATCATTTCTCATGCATGCCATATTCCTACTTATAACATAGTTGTGACAGAACCCCTATTGTTCATTACACACTAGCCCCAAACTCGAGTAATTCTAATGTAAGCATGAGAAACCACGGTCTCCTTTGGGGTGAATTTCCAAATTCCTCTGTGTTAAATTGAGGTCTAATTTTCCTTGTGCCTGGTTTTCACAAGAAGGTCCATTCCACCCCATGTGCTCCTTTTCAGCTGTCAATAAACAGAGGCAGTGAATTCCCCCAGGGCTTCACAAAGCTAGTTAGGCAGAGCCATTCATTCCTTCAGGAAAACAGGGCATTGATTTCAGCGAGTTCCCAGGGAGCAGCTGCAACAAAGAGATCAAAGGCCCACCTCTCTCTCCCTCCATTGCTTTCATTAGGCCAGGCCCAGACAAACAGCGACAGGTTTCCTTGAGACAAGGAGAAGGCCCGGAGACCACCTCATGGTTCAATTCAAATTCATCCGTTTCCTACATTCCAGTGACAGTCCAGAATGCTAACCATGACAAACCAGCACAATTGCCAGGCATAATATACTGCGCACTAGTTCATCCAAGGTCAGAGGGAGAAAACGGGCACCAAGGGAAGTCCTCTGCTACCAGGGCCTGCTGGGCCTCAATGGCCCCCTGACATTCCATAAATACACATTGCCTTCTCACTCTCCCTTTCTTCTTCCATCCTGCAATCCTCCCAGTGATGGTCTCCCTTCATCTCCAATTTCTTTCGTGTCACCGTACCCAAACGACAGGGACACTTTATTCTCCATCGAATAGCTCCACTGATGATTGGAGTGTGGCTATCGTGCAGCCCTCATTGGCTGGCACCCAGTAAGCTACGACATATGATGAATTTAGAGCTGTAATTCCTAGGGCTTCCCGCAAAGGCCGCTAGACCTAAAGAAAGAGTCAGTTTGCGTAAATTCTGTTTGCCAAACAAAACCGTGAACAGCGACAGAACAGTTAGCTTTTTTATTTGAGCTGGGTAATCATCCAAACTGGTAATCCAGGCTCCTAAATGACAGCCTGTGTGTGAATGAGCCATGTGTGTGTTTGTGGGAGTGAGGAGGGACTAGGAAAAAACACAGATTGGCCTGATTGGTTGGCTACACTGAGCAGATATTATTAAAAAGTTTCCAAGGTCCCCACTGAATTCTGAACGGCTTCTTTGACACAGCTTCCATGAAAACCTGAAACAAAATGTGTTCATTTTACTGAGCTCCACTCCATTCCTGACACTAGTCCTCAGTGAACATGGGAACAGAAGAGTTAAATTTCAAAATTCCTAACCTAAAAAGAAAAGAAACGATATTGGAATGAGAGGGGTGGAGAACTCACTCCTTGACACAGAACATAACCTTTCTAGGTGCCTGTCTTTTGCGCTTCAGTGTTGATCTGGGGGATTCAATCACTGATTACTCATTTGACTCAACGATGCCATTTTGTACAGGGTGCTGAACAGCCCACATTGGCTCAGCTGGGGACAGAGATGAACTTAAGAAATGCAGAGCTCTAGACTGCACAGAAAATGTAGCTTAGTAAACGCAGTTGTACAGTCATCGTAGGAATCTGAAAGCTGACTCTGGCATTGGATCATGTTGGGCCTCTCTGCCTTCCTACTCTCCCAAAATGGAGAGAGAAACATCAAGAATCCCTTTACAAGGTATTGTGAAATAATGCTACATCTCAAAAATTATGTATCTCATCAAAAAAAGCTGCTCTTACGAGTAGAAACTCCTTATATAATAGATCGCTCTATAATCTAAGAGAGCTGTTCTGGAAACTCACTAAGTTTCTACAAATCAGATCATTTTTTAAACGCACTCAAAAAATGTCCTACTTAAAGAAAGGCTATGCCAAATGATGAAATACACTCATCAGTTCATTTATATGCCTTTCAAGAGCATTTAGAGAACTTAGGAACATCCATGTGGTCTTCACCATGACCAGCCGAGATAGCTGGCTTTATTCATTTCTATTTTTGAATGAAGAAAATAGACTTGAGAGGTAATAAACTGACTTACCAAAGTCATAGAATTAGTAAGTAGCAGAGTTAGAACTTGAAGCATTCTGTTTCTAAATCTCATGCTGTTTCCACTGTACCCAGCTACCCTGTATGCATATAATTATTCACCGAAGTTCTCTCACCATAGCTATATTAAGTAAGTCATCATCTATTTCTAAACCCAATGCATCGCACCATTCAATCAAGAAGGTCGTGCATGCACTCCAGTATCAAGTAGATCCATACCTAAATTTTAGTGTCACCTTTTTGTAAATTAAGCAGTTAACAATATTTTTAGAACCTCAGTTTCCTCATCTGTAAAAGAGGAATAATAATAGTACCTTTTCTCATAGGGTCTGTGAAGGGTCAAATTAGATAACTTGTATAAAGCACCTGGAACAGTGTTAACATATAACAAATACTCAATAAGGGTGGCTGTTGGCATTGATGTTGAAAATCAAAGCAATGTAAAACTTGTTAAAATGGGGAAAACGCTTCCTTTTAAATTTAAGGAATTTTTTATGGCCCAGAATATGTCCCTGGGTTAGTTGGAAGTGTGATGTTCGGTTAAAAGATATTTTCCTAGCAACCTTTCTGTTCTAATTTAATTCCATTATGGTCAAGGAACATTCTTTGTATGATTTAAATCCTTTTAAATTAATTGACTTGTTTTCTTACACAGAATATGGTCTATCTTGATTAATGTTCTGAGTGCACTTGAAAAGAATATGTATTCTGCTGTTGTTGAGTGGAGTGTTCTATAAACAACAATTAGGTCCAGTTGGTTAATAGTGTTATTTAATTCTTCTATATCCTTATTTATTTTCTATCTACTTAATCTATCATCTACTGAGAGAGGGTGTTGAAATCTGATTATAATTGTGGATTTGTCTACTTTTCCTTGTGCAAACTGAAACTCTATTATTAGATGCATAAACATTTAAGATTATGTCTTCTTGAGAAATTTACCATTTTATCATGAAAGAATTTTATTCTTGAAAATATTCTTTGCTGTTATTTCTATTTTCTACTTTATGATATTAATATAACCATTTCTTAAAAATTAGTGCTAAAATATATGCTGTTTTCCATCCTTTAGCTTATAAACTATTTGTGCCTTTATATATGTGAAATACATTTTTTTCAGGCAGCATATAGCTAATTCTTGTGTGTGTTTTATCAAATCTACTCTGACATTCTTTGTCTTTTAACTAGAGTATTTAAACCATTTATACTTAATGTGATTCTTGGCATTTGTTAGGTTGAATTGTAGCATCTTGTTATTTGTTTTGTATTTGTCCCATCTGTTCTACGTTCCCTTTTTCCTGCCTTCTTTTGGACTGATTATTATTTTATCTCTTGGCTTATAACTCTTTGTTTTGATGTTTCAGTGGCTGATTTAGTGTTTATAATAATATCCTTAACTTATTACAATGTACTTTCAAGGGATATTATACCTGCTCACATATAATATAAAAACTTTATGGTTTTATATTTCAATTTTTTTCTTCCTGACCTTTGTGCAATTATTTTCTTATATTTCATGTTATCAACCCCAACTCTATTGTTACTATTTTTATTTAAACAATAATTTATATTTTATGAAATATTAAAGATTTTTAAATTTTATACGTTTACCCAGGTGGCTATCATTTCTGATGTTGCTTATTTCCATCTGATATTATTTTCCTTCTTCCTAGGTGCTTCCTTTAACATTTCCTGTGGTGTGGGTCTAATGGTAACATATTCTTTCAACTTGAGAAAGTCTTTATTTTCATTATCTTTTTTAAAAGATATTTTTATTAGTTATAGATTTCTAGCTTGACAGTTTTTTCTTTCATTACTTTAAAGATATTATTCCACTGTTTTCTGGCTTACACTGCTTTTGACGAAAAGTTTGACATCATTCTTTGTTCCTCTAAATTTATAGTATCTGTTCTCTGCTTTAAAATATTTCTCTTTATTACTGGTTTTAAACTATTTGATTATGGTGTACCTTAGTCTAATTTTCTTACTTTTTTGTTTTTTTGTTCATGCTAGGTTTTCATTGAGCTTCTGAGATATGTGGGGTTATTGTTTTCATCAAATTTAGCAGACTTTCAAGTATTATTTTTTTTTTCCTTCCCTCCTTTGGAGACCCTAATTACACATATACAGGGGTATTTGGCTGATTGAAGTTGTCCCACAGGTTACTGATGGGCTGTTTGCTTTATTCCGTATTTTTGTGTTTCATTTTTTAAAATTTCTGTTGCTATGTCTTTAAGTTCACAAAATCTTTCTTCCTGCAATGCCTAGTCTACTGTTATTCCTACCCAGTGTAATTTTCATCATGTTATGGTGTCTCTAGAAAATCAATTTGGGTCTTATAATAGCTTTCATGTCTATCCTTAACAAACTTTATGCTTTCCTCTACTATCTTGAATATAGTTATAACTATTTTAACATCTTTGTTTAGTAAATATGTTTTCCTTATTAAAATATTATGAATTTTAATTAGATTAATTTAATTAAAATCTGTTTATTAAATCCATGGCATTTCTGGACCTATTGCTATTGATTATTTTTTCTCTTTACCATTGAATTTTTCAGTTTCTTCTTATATCTGGTAAATTTTGATTGAACACTAGGCACTGCTTATTTTACCTTATTGGGTGCTAGATATTTGGTATTTCTTTAAATATTCTTGAGCTTTGTTCTGGGATGGAATTAAGCTACTAGAAACCATTTGATACTTTAAAACAGGAGTCCATAAACTATGGCCCACAGTTCAAATCTGGCCCACACTATTTCTGTAAATAAGGTTTTATTGGAATACAGCCCTCCCCATCATTTACATATTGTCTATGGCTGCTTTTACATTACAATAGCAGGCTTAGTCGTTGCAAGAGATCATATGACCTGAAAAGTCTAAAATAGCTTCCATTTGGCCCTTTACAAAAAGGTTTTATGACCTTTAATGGCTTCCTTCTAAGATTTTTTAGGAAGGATCAGAGCAACCTTTACTCTGGGGCTACTTCTGCCTTGTTACTAGGCAGAACCCTTCTGACCATTCCATCTAATACACTTGGATTACACAGTTTCTCTACTCTCAGTGGTGGGGACACACACTTCCCAGCCCTATGTGAGCTACCTTTTCCCTTCCAGTCGTTCTTTTTTCAGCCTTGGGTAATTCTTTTACATGCATGCACTAATTAGCATTCAGCTGAAGATCTCCAGAGTTCTCTTTGTGGAACTCTTCTCTTCTCTGGACTCTATCCTGCAATTCTAGCTGCCTCGGCCTCCCTGAATTCCCTACTCTTATCACTGCAATTCAGTGTGACCACTGGTCTGTGTTTGGTTCCCCTTCTTATGCTGTGGCCTCATGCACATCATTTGTTTCCCTTCTCTCAGGGTTCACTTCTTATGTCGCTTGTTGTTCAATGTCTGAAAACTTTTTTTCATAATAGTTTATGGGGCTCTTATTTTTGGCTGCTCAGGCAGGAGCATAAATCCAGTTTCTGTTACTACATCATGGCTGGAAGTCATGGTGGAAGTCCCCTCATTATGAAATTCCGCTTTCTTACATTTTCATTAGTGCTTTACATTTTCAAGTAAGTACTGACAAATCTACATTATCTCATTTCTTTTGTCCACTTTGCTAAGATGTAGAGATTATGTAAAAGCTCAAAAAAATACAAAAAAGTGATTTGCTGAGTCTATTGCAGATCAACCCATGTCTCCTAATCATTTTCTCTCCTATAAAAATATATAATTTTTAAAAAATTTACTACATATAAGGATATAAGTAATAAAAGGTAGTCTTCTATATAAAGCATATTGTACAATTATTTATTACTAGTGTCTCAAGCTTACAGTACTGAGAAATATAGAATTATTTAAAAGATTAATAGTTACTGAATGCTGCTAATAGCCAGATATATCACCTCAGTTAATCCTCATAAATATCACAGGTATTATTATTTCAATTTTATAAATGACGAACTGTGGCTAAGAAAGGTGCACTAACTTGTTTATAGTCATGTACTTAACCATATCACAGCCAGAATTCAAGCCAGGCTGTGCTTGGTTCTAAAACTTGTACTCTCCAACATGCTTTCTGCTCCTTAATTTATAACTCGTAAAAGGGGAGCTTCTAGAACTAAATTTTGAAAGAACACTCCAAGTCCTCAATAACAAAATGGCATTAGGAACCATTTACTAAAAGTATCAAGACCGATTCACTTTTTTTCTACCAAAGAACTTCTAATCAAACAACAACAAATAAGAAAATAAAGTATACAGAAATATATAGGTGATTAATATTTGAATTTATTTTAAGTCACATATAATCTAATTAAAGTTCTAAATCAGGCATTCAAACTTCCTTATTGAATTATCTGGGCAAGCCTACAACCTACAAAATTCTGCTGACCTTGAGCTCTAGCAGATTTTTCTTACATCTGAGTATTGAAAACATATTCTGCTTCCTTAAGATCTTATTGTTTATTTTCTGGTAACAAGTTTTGCTCCAGGTTCTCTAGAAAAGTACTCTCATATAATTAGAAAATGCAAATATCATGGTGGAGGATAAAAAAATTAAAATATCAACTTACAAAAGCCAATGATGACTATGTTATCAATCAGGGAGGAACAACCTAAAAATAAAATAAATGTAAAAATAAAAATTATTTTAGTTTTATATAATAGTTTCATATTCATTTTTAAATTGAATTTCATTAAGATAATTGCAGATTCACATGGGGTTTTAAGAGTGACCTTGAGTATCCTTTACTCAGTTCCCCCCAATGGTAACATTTCACAAAACCGAGGTACAATATCACAATCAGTACATTTATATTAATACAACCCACTGGTCTTTTGAGATTACCCCCGTCTCATTAAATTTGTGTTTGTGTGTGTATATGTGTGCATTTAGTTCTATAGAATTGCATCACTCCCAACACTTGTATATATGTCTCTGATAACAGTTTCCTCTATATTATCACCCTCTCCATTTATACTAGAGATACTTCTCCCCAACATGCCATGCTCTGGTATTCCCCAACCTTTAATTAACAAAACCTTTACTGACCTCCACTTCTCCCACTATATCCCCAGACTAACTCTGAAAAGAATAGAAAATTTAGATAATCCTCATTTCCTCACCTAGTCACTTTTCAACCCATTCCCCTGGCTCCCATCTCCACCACTCTATCCTTATCAAGGTCTTCAAAGCCATTATTATCTTCATTTTAAAAATCATGATACTGAAGCTCAAGAGAGATGACTAGGTTGAGATGGTAAAGACAAACCTTCCCTTGGAGATAAGCAAGAGCCCAAGGACTACCCCAAAGTACTCTTTTCAGAATATTATACTTCCTTCCTCTCTTATATCATCCTCTCTGCATTAAATCTCCGATTTCTTGGACTATCTCATTGTTTTTCATCAGTTTTAACTGAGAAAAAGAATTTGCTTGACTTATGAATATTTTATCTATAACACTTGCTGTATATTATTTAATTGTCACAACAACCTGAGAATAGGAGGTTTTATCCCCTTTGTCCAAATAAGAAAATTTTGGCTGAGAAAGAATAAAACCTTTCCCTATAGCAGATAGTTAAGAAGTAGAACAGCCAGCATTTGACCTGATCACCTGGATTGTGGGCCCAAAGCTGCCAGCCCTTCATCATGGTTAGATCTCATAGTTTCTCAGTTGTTCCTATTACATGGTAACACGGTAAGGGCATCATTCAGAGAGAGGTGGCATGGTCCCAATACCTCCATCAGGTCAGAAAACCTAGCATTGATACAAACTTGCTATGAGCAAACACATAAGAAACTGATTTCTATATCACAATGGGACTTTATGATGGGAATTATAATTGTCAAGACATGACACTCAACTTTGGTGGTCAGCACATTTTCCCTCCCTAGCTCTACCTAGGAAGCTAAATTAGTAAGAAGGGGGTATGGGACAGACTTGTAATATGGAGGAAGTGGGCAGAAAGACTTGCCCCATTCCCAAACAGAGCAAATCTTCCACTCTCCACTCCTATGTGGCTAAGATAAAATGCCCCCTTACAAATGGGGACCAGGAAGGGACAGTTCAGAAGGAACTATTTGCTATTCATCTGTCTGTGTTCTGAATAGGGGGGTCAGATGCTGCTGCCTTTGCTGCTATTAGCTCTACATTAGCTGTTCCTGACAAAATAGCCAGGCAAGAGATGGAATAGACTACTCCACCACCTCCACCCATTAAAACAATTACAGAAATAGAGATGCTGGCCTCTAAATAGCTGAGAGCTTCTAAGAGAGAATTCGTGAAATAAACACATCTTCAATATATACAACCTCTAATCAATCCCCTCCAAAATATCCCAACCAACCAAGTCTTTCCTCCTCTTTCTTCCTATTTTGAGGGGGCAGGGAAATTCAGTGAGGTAATTACAAAATATTTTGAGTTGCCAGCCTAATAGAAAAAAATTAAATGTTCCTTCTTGTTTTAGATACACACAGAGATACCATCTACTCTAATTTTTAGGAATCTGAGTAATCTGTTCATGCTTTAAAGTTAGAACATTTCCATCACCTACTTCTCCAACACTGAGGGAAAACTAGAATTAACACAAATAGGTAAATCACAACAACAAGATATAAACCATAAAGTTTACTGGAAAATTTTTAATTTACAATATCTAAAGATTATGTATGGATCTGTATTGTATTATGTTAATATCCCCAGAAAGGTGAAAGAAAAATCAACACTTTTCCTATATAATGCAGATTTTTAAAACCTCACAATGATTTCCTAAATTACGTCCTCTGAGAATATGAACGTCTTTCCCCAGCTGTTTAAAAGCAATTTTCTAGATTGCAATTTTAAGCATCTCTTTGAATGCGACAAGGTCTTACCCTTAAAATGTATGACACTGACTTCTGCTTCACAGAAGTGCAGACAGAATTAACATAATAGTTCTACTTCATACAAGCTCTCAAAATCTCCAGCGGGAGCTAAACTAAACTAGTTGCGTTATAAATGCTAATAGTATGCTTTAAAAACCATGGCATAATGAGAGTAGTTACTAAAGTAGCTTGTATTCAGCCCCAATACTTTACTGCCACATGCGCTTCTACAAGACCCATTGTTATGGACTGAATTGGGTCTCTCAAAATTCATATGTCGAAGCCCTAACCTCCAGTGTGACTATTTGAAGATAAGTCCTTTGGGGAGGTAATTAAGGCTAAATGAGGTTAAGGGTAGAGCCCTAATCCAACAGGACTGGTGTCCTTATAAAAAGATAAAAAGACACCAGTGGCCACCCTCTCCAAGCAAGCACAGAGGAAAAGACCACGTGAAAACACAGCAAGAAAGCAGTAGTCATCTGTAAGCCAGAAAAAAAAGAGGTCTCATCAGAAACTGAATTTGCTGGTATCTTGATCTTGGACTTCTAGCCTCCAGAATTGTGAGAAAATAAATTTATGTTGTTTAAACTGCCCAATCTGTGGTATTCTGTTAATGACAACCTAAGCATACTAATTTAGATTCGATACTATGAAGTGTGGTGCTACTTAACAAATGACTGAAAATGTGGAAGTGGCTTTGGAACTGGGTAATGGTAGAGGCTGAAAGAGTTTGGAGGTGTTTACAGGAAAAGTCTATATTGCCTTGGAGAGACTGCTGGTAGAAATAGGAAAGTTAAAGGTGATTCTGGTGAGACTCACTAAGGTGGAAATGAAGAATATGCTACTGGAAACTGGAGGAAAGGTGATCCTTATTATAAACTGGCAAAGAATTGGGCTGAATTGTATTCTAGTATTTAGTGGAAGAAAGAACTTGGAAGTGATAAAATCAAATATTTAGTTGAAGAGATTTCCAGTCAAAGTGTTGAGGCATGTAACCTGGCTTCTCCAGAAAAATGTAAGAGGAGAGAGATAAATAGAAAAATTTCCTAAGCAAAAAATAAGGAGAACATGAAGATTTGGGAAAATTCTCAATCTACCCATCCTGCAAAAAAATGAGAAAGCATGTCCAGGAGAAGGTGTGGCTAGATAATCATTCCACAATGAGATTGGAATTAATAGGCTAAATCTGCAAAAGCCAGAAATAGATTTGGGATTATACCAACAGGACATTGCCAATTTGGACCAAAGGAAACCTAGATGGGATAAAATAAAGGAAGGCTTTTCCACTACTGAGATTGAATAGGACTAGAAGATAAGCTATTTGACTGCAAACCATGCTTTATTCTTTAAGAAAAGGAAATAAGGACCCCACCTAGGCAATTCAGAGATCATCAGCATTCCACTCCCACCAAAGAAAAACTATGGTATATTGAAATAATGGAATGCTACTCAGAATATATATATATATATATATATATATATATATATATATATATATATATGAGAAACAACAAAGTATGTATGCATGCTTCAACATGGATGGATTTCAACAAAGTATGCAGAATGAAAAAAAGTCAGACACAAAGCAATACATACTATTTGGTTATTCTTAAAGTTCAAAAATAGTCAAAACTAATCTACAGTGAGGGAAATCAGAAGAGTGTTACCTCTAGGGGAGGTACTGGCTGGAGGATGCATGAGAGAATTTTTCTTTCTGGATGGATGTAATACTGCCCACCTTGATCTAGTGCTTACACAGATATATATAAATTCATCAAGCTGTATATTTAAGATTGCCTCACTTTATATGCTCCCCCCCCCATGTATTTTATAACTCAGTAGGAGAAAAAGTACTTCATAAAATATAAGCTAACTATTTTTACCTTATCAGTTGCCTTACTTCAAGGTTATTAGGCAAATGTAAAATTTTCTACTTGAACATAGGACAGAAACCAAACAAATTGTGCTTAAGTTTCTAACTGTTTCACTGGCCCTAAAATAATTAGACTATTCAAACCTTACTCATTAGAATAAATAAAAACTTGGAAGGAAAATCCAAAGAAAGTAGTTAGTTAGTCATCATTTAGTCCACATCAAGTGGCTTGGTCACGGAAACAAAGGCTCCAAGCAGCATACTGACGATGTAAGTAACGCGATTTTGGTAGTGTGTTTTTACCATAAATATGTCTATTAAATAATTTTATTCAACTATTTATTTTTAGTACCACAGTAGTATGGCAGAGAAGAAAGAGCAAGAGCTTTTAAATCAGACAAACCAGTTCTGCCACTTACTAACTATACGGTGTTGGGCAAATTTCTTAATCTCTTTGATACTGAGTTTCTTCACAATTTAAAACAGGGACAATAATACTTACTTTGAAGACTTGTAGTACAATTATAGTAGGTATAGAAGGTACTTAAGAATGGTAGATATTTAGCAATAGCTCTTTGTATGCAAAGTATCATGGTAGGTAATGGAACCCTATCTCTAAGAACCTGACCAACTGGAAATGACATTTAGATATAAAGACTGGTGACGAAAGGTAAGAATTTAACAAGGGCTACAGATTACAAATCACAGAGTTCCTATCTAGCTAGTAGGGTTGCGGAGGAGTATCCTCTGAACAGAGCTTGGAAATTTTTTGGAAAACCCACTGAAGGCATAGGAAATGGCATGAGTAAAAGCAGAGCCTCAAACATAGTACAGTGATTTCAGATTCTGGCGCGTAGTTAAGACCCACTGTGCTAGTGGACTAACTCTGAGGAATAAGACTATAGGCTCGGAAAGCAAGTTGGGACTAGACAGGGAAGGACCACTGTCAAGGACCTGTTTTCTCAAGTCCTGGCATGTCACTGAAGGATTTTTTTAGAGAACTGACCCCCAGTGGTCATTAGCCATGCTAGAAAGGGGAGGAAAACATATGGGGAGAAAAAACATAGGGAGATAAGGGCCCAATCCAAGATGCTCAGAGGAGTGAAAGAAACAAACAGAAAAGATAGAGTTCAATGTTACCCACATTTTAAAAATGAACAGACATTGAGTTTCCTTGAATGATTCGAGTTGGGCTGCCTTCAGCTTTTGAAATGATCCTGACACGGCCCATACGCTCAAGAGCAGAGAAGAATCCCAAACCAGCAAAACATATTGCCCGGCACATCAAAAGTACTCAATACATATTGTTGGCAAATGAATCTTCCAGAATATTCCAAATATTGAAACCTCTACAATAAAACATTGTTCAAGGTGAAACATGTAGAAAAGTTAAGATCATTTTTCATTTCCTGTTGAGGGCCCATTTTTCATAATATATGCCAAGTTCTGAATTTGCTCAATTCAATATTGAAAAAGGCTCATTTGCAAGAGCTATCTTGATCTCTATCTCTACCCAAAGACTCAGATATAAATCGCTCTAGAAAGTTGGGAATGTTGCCACCTCAATTGCTAAGCTCTTGTGTAATCTTTTTTTCAGGAATTTATCACTCATTACGTCTTGGGCTATGGCAAAAGAAGAGCCACTGTATGATATGAATAGTATATGAAAAAAATTAAACAAGTTAAATCCAGATCATAAAAATATGTGTGAGGTTTACCCAGGAATACAAGATGATTTAATAATTAATATATTAAAATAATTAAAATAACCTGCCACATTAAGAAATACAGAAAGGAAAAAATAACTATGTCCCTAGGACTATGTATAATTCTTAGCCCTTTCTATGTATGAGCTCATTTAATGATCTCAACAACCTTCTTGGTAGACATTTTATCTACATTTTATAGATGAGAAAATTGAAATATAGAGAAATTAAGTAATTGCCCAAGGTTACACTGTGGAGGTAAGAAGAGGCATACTTAGGAACTGAACCCAGGCAATCTGGCTCCAGAGTCAAAATTCCAATTAATAAATGTAGAAAGAATGAAGAAAATGGAAAATCATCATTAGAATACCACAATAATTGCTGCAGGTAAGATCAGCTGAATGCTAAAATTAGTGGACAACCTTAAGGAGAAACAGGGTATTTGCAAACCCTCAAAATATCTCCCTCGGAGTATTTACTAATTACCATGGTAGTTTTAACATATGTTCTCAAATCATTTGATACTTTTCCCTCTCCTCCCCATGAGTGTGGACTTGCTTCTAACAGAACAGACAGAAAGTGAAAAAGCAATGATGTTTCAGTGGAGAAATCTCCTAGACACCATCCAACTATGTGATCCAGGTTAACATGCTGATGTGAATATCATGTTCCCCCACAGAGGAGGCAACAGAAGGACACACTGTCTCTGTGGTACTCGTCCTCCAAAGTCCACAACCTCGGCCTAATTGTAAGAAAACATCAGACAGGCCCAAATTGAGGGACACTGTACAAAATACATGACCAGTACTCTTCAAAAGTGGCAAGGTCATGAAAAACAAGTAAAAACTAAAAAACCTGTCACAGATTGGAGTAGCCTAGGGAGACATGACAACTAAATGCAATTTGGTATTTGGATTAGATTCTGGAACAGAAAAAGGAAATTGGTGGGAAAGTGGGAAATCTTGAATAAAGCCTGTGGTTTAGTTAATAGTGTTGTGTCAATGTTAATGTCTTAATTTTGGTAAATGTACCAGGTTATGTAAGATGTTAACATAGAGGACGGTTGGTGAAGGGTGTATAGGAACACTCTATACTACCTTTGCAACTCTTTCATAAATCTAAAATTATTTAATAAATTTTTTACTTTAATACCCATTAGTGAAAACAAATCTCAATAAACCAGGAATAGAAGAACATTTCTCAATCTGGTAAAAGACATTTACCAAAAAAACAAAAAAATACAGTAAACATTATCTTTAATAGTGAAATACTGATTATCTTCCCTCAAGTTTAGAAAAAAACAAGGATATCCATTTTAAACACTTCTGTTAAATATCCTTCCAGTGTTCCCAGCCAGTGCAATAAAGCAAGAAAAAGAAAAAAGGAGTAGAGCTTAGAAAGGCAAATTAAAACGATTTCTTTTTTGCAGATGATGTGATTGTGCATTGATAAAATCCCCAACAATCTATAAGCTACCAGAACTGAAAAGTGAATTTAGCAAGGTCACAAAATACAAGTTCGATATACAAAAATCAATTGTATTTCTAGGTACCAGCAAGACGATTGAAAAATAAAATTAAGAAAAAGACATTTACAATAGCATAAATAAATCAAATGCCTAGAAATAAATTTAATAATGCATTAAGTTCTCCACACTAAAACCACCAAAATAATGCTAGAAATAATTGAAAAACTTATTCAATTGAGAGACATACCATGTTCATAGAGTGGAAGATTTTGTTAAGATGCCCATTCTCCAAAATTTGTTCTATAGAGTTGATGCAATTACAATCAAAAGTCTGGTAGACTTTTTTTAAAAAAAAATAGACATTAATAAGCTCATTCTAAAATTTATATAGAAATGCAATAGCTAAAACAGTCCTTAAGAAGAACAAAAGTGGAGGCTTTACACTACTGTATGTCAGGACTTACTATAAACTACAGTAGTTAACTAAGAAAGTGTGGTACCGACGGAAAATTGGTCAGTATTTCAAGTGGAACAGAATAGAGTACAGAAGAGGATCCAAAATACGATCATTCATTTTTAACCGAGACCCCACTGCAACCTGATGGGAAAAGAAAGGTCTTTTCAATAAATGTGTAGAGAGCTGGGTGTCCATGTGGAAAATAAATCTTGACCCCCATCTTACACCAAACACAAAACCAGCTGGAGGTAACTCAAAGACCCAACTGTGAGGACTAAAACGATAAAGCTTAGAGGAAACCAGAGGCAAATCTCTTTAGGTCCTTGAGGGAACTTCACAAAACAAGTCTGACTGGTCAATAAAGATATAAAAAGATGTTTAGCATTAACACTCATGGAAATGCAACCAACTTACCCAAAGGCCACCAGTTCAGCTCCATATATTTAGGGCCGTGTCATGAACATCTGCGGTAATTTTTAATTAATTAATTTATTTATAATGACCCAAAACTGAAAACAACTCATATATTCATCCACAAGAGAAAGGATAAATAAACTGTGGTATATCCATATAAACCAAACATTTTTCCATAAAGAGTTCAATAGAAAATATTTTAGGCTTCGTGGGATATATGGTCTCTGTTACAACTACTCAACGCTCATGAAAGGACATGGCTATGTCCAATAACATTTTAATAAAACATGTTTTGGGCTGCATGGGCTGACAGGCCATAGTTTGCCAGCCCCTGCTATAAAGCCAAAACAAAAAACTACTTATACTGGCAACAAGGATGAATCTAAAAAATATTCTGTGAACAAAATAGCACAAAAAGAATAAACTATATGATTGCATTTATAAGCAGTTCAAGAATACCTGAGAATAATCCATGGTGAGAGACATCAGGAGAGTACTTGACTGGGGGGGAGGAATGGTTCTGTCAATAGTAAGGAAGAGGAGGGAACTTTTGCAGGGATAAAAATGTTTTTTTGTCTTTATCAGGGTGGTGATCACGCAGGCATAAATTTCAATAAGCCACACATTTTATTTTATTTTGTTTTTATTGTACGTAAATTTGGAGAAGAAAACAAAAATTAGACAAAGATCACAATACAGGTCTAAAATTACCTAAAATTCAACATGGTCAAAAATATAGAAAAGCTAGATTAAAATTAAAAGACATGGATGACAGAATGAGAAAGCTTAACAGAAGTTGAATCAGAGTTCCTGAGGGAATGAAAAGAAAAAAAATGGAGGGAAAACAATACTGAAAGAAATAAAGGATAAAACTTTAGAGAACTGATGAAACACTAACCTTAGACACAGGAAACACAATCAATCCAGGATAAATGAAATGGCCACACCTGGACACACTCCGTTGTAAAACTGTAGAACACAAGAGAAGAGAGATCTTAAAATCCGGCAAAAAAAAACACAACAACACACAGATTACCAACAAATAGCAGTTATTTGAACTAACTGTAACACTGAAGTGAAAGTCAATGGAATGATACCTCCAAAGGGCTGAGAAAGAAACTGTGTACCTGAAATTATATACCAAGCAAAACCATTATTCAAGAATGAAAGCAAAATAAAGACATTTTCAGGTAAAGTTTGCCATCAACAGCCTCTGAATAAACAAGCTTCTAAAATATATACCCGAGGAAGAAAAAAAAATCTGAGATACAAGAAAGAATGACAAAGAATCCATAAAAAGAAAAAAATAATGTAAAATTTATAGGAGAAAAAAATCAAGATGGACCCAAAACTCTGGATGACAATAACATGTGAGCCAGGAAACTAACTGGAGTCTTAGCAAACTTTTTCTTGAATTATTTGTAATAAGAATAGAATTAATAAACTTTAGAGTAAGCTAAGTTTATTCATTAAAAATTTAAAGGAAAAGACTAAAAGAAAGAACTCAACATATAATTTTCATACTAGCTGAGAGGGAGGAAAATGGAATAAGAAAAAAATTCAAAAGGTGGCAAAGGAAGAAAACACACACACACACAAAGAAGACAGGATTAAAACAAAACAAAACAAAAAACCAAACAAAAAAAAAAAAACCCACACCATAAAACAGAATGCTAACTTTAATCCTAAGTATATCAGTAATTATGTTAAACTTAATTGGGCTGAGAGCTCCCAGTAAAAGGACAAAGATTGGCAGTGTGGACTGAAAAACAATCAGATTTTACCTTTTTGAAAGTCTAAGCTAATGCTAAGAGAAAGGTGTGACTACAGCATTATAAAACAAAACAGATTTTAAGGTAAAAGGCGTTTGGGAGAGGCAGCTATAAAATGACAAAAGCTCCAATTCACAGAGAAGATAAAGTAATTCCGAACTTGCATATACTTTCAACTTTTATAAAGCAAAGGTGACAGAATTACAAGAAGAAATTGAGACAACGCATTATTTTATTGTGATGTTTTTATTATACCTATCTCAGTAATTGATAGATCAAACAAACCAAAGTACTAGTAAGGTTAAAAAGATTTGAGTGCCAGAATTCTTATGCTTAATCTAAGATATATATATATGGATATGTGTACTGGTGTGTGTGTGTGTGTGTGTGTGTGTGTGTGTGTGTGTACCTTGTCCCAAAAGTCTGAGAGTACATATTCTTCTCAATCATTCAAGGAGCAGTTGGAAAAGTAACCATGAGGCCATAAAGCAACTCTCAAATTTCAAAGATTCAAAGAATCGTAGCATAGAGCCCTCATTTGCTGACTACAATGCAAGTTAGAAACCAGTAACAAAAGGATAACTCACAAAACCTTCCAGGTTTGGAAGTAAATAATACTTCTAAAAATCTCATTAAAAAAGAAAAATATAATGAAAAAAGTTTTAATTTTTAGAACTGAAAAATATACTAAATATAAAGCAATAGTAAATAAAAATCTGTAGAATTTGCAGTATAAAGAGCCCAGAAATAAGCCCAAGCATATCTGGAAATATGTTTATGACGGAGGTGGCACTGCAGACCACTGGTCCCGGGACTGCTCCACGCAGGAAAAAGAAAACAGATTAATCTTAATCTCACAACATAACAACTATACATTGATATATACACATTTATGAGTCAGGTAAATTAAAGATCTAAATATGTAAAAGATACAAACTTCAAATTTTTTTAGAAAAGAATTTCAAAATATATTACCCTAATAGTAGAGAAGACTATCTTAAGACACAAAAACACAAAGAAAAGATTGTCCGCAGTTTATTTAACCAACAAAGGGTTTGTATCTTAAACAATGTTTTCTAATAGAAATTTCTGCAATGATGGAAATGTTCTGTTAAACAATATAGTATAATGTAAAATAATATCATAAAATATAATAGCCACTAATCACACTTGCTATTGAGCACTTGAAATGTAGCCTAAAGTGACTGAGGAACTGAACTTTTTGAAGTATGACAACATGTTAGTATTTTAAAATCTCTGATGAAGGTCTGTTATGTTTTTGTTATGTTTTTTCTATCTTTGATTTTTCATAAAAGACTTTGTTTAAATTTAAATTACTATATAAAATATAATTGCAGTTTTGTAAAAAAAATACACAAAAATTGCATTTTAGAAAACACACCAAAATGCGAATTTATTATCTGTGAATGATTTTAATTTTATTCTAAATATTGTTTAAAATATTGTTATTTAGGATCTAAAACATTTAAAAATTTTATGAACACTGTTGTATCTACCATAACATTTATGAAATATTTCTGATATTTAAATTTCCTAGATACCTCTCCCTGATTATGGCTTTTTTTTAAAAGAGCAGCTGGAAAATATGAATAATAGACTAGAGTCCTGGCTTCATGTTTCTTCATTCTGAGATGTCCGTATTTTAATATATAGGGGGGGGGGATTTAATATACAGACGTATGTATCATTTAACAAAGAGTTATAAAGCAAAAACACCCATGTAACCATTGCCCAGATCAGGAGACAAAACATTTCCAGCACCCCCGAAGCCCTCAGTGTGTCCCCTCACATTCACAGCACCCCCCCCCCGACTCCCCCAGGAGATAACCACTAACTTGACTTTTATGGTATTAATTTCTTCACTACTTTTAATGCCTATGCATGCATCCTTAAGAACAGCTTTATTTCATCAGGTTCTGAATTTTACATAGATGATATCATACAGTATTCTTCAACAACTTGCTTTTTTTGGGGGGGCTCAACTTTGAGATGCATTTATGTTAAAATACAAAACTACTTTGTTCACCACTGTACTGGGTGGGTTTCATTTTATGACTAGAGTACAATTTACCTTTCTTCTATCAGATGGACGTAAAGGTTGCTTCCAGCTTTGGGGGTATTAAAACAACACAACAGCAAACCTTCTTCTACACGTCTTCTTGTGTATATGTATGAACATTTATCTAGGGCAGTGGCTTTCAAACTTTTTTGACCATGACTCATACATACTAAAGAATGACGTTTTACATCATGACACACATCTGTGTGTATGTATAAAATTGAGAGGAAATTTTTTTTTTCCACGAAATACCCTATGACCTGATATACATTCCCATATTTTTCTATTCTCTGTCAATTCGTGTTTCCAAGTCCTGATCATTATCCACGTAACTGATTTCAGACCCACAAAAATGGGCTCCAAACTTTGAAAAACATCGCTCTAGAGCAGTGGTTCTCAACCTTCCTAATGCTGCGACCCTTTAATACAGTTCCTCATGTTGTGGTGACCCCCAACCATAAAATTATTTTCGTTGCTACTTCATAACTGTAATTTTGCTACTGTTATGAATCGTAATGTAAATATCTGATAGGCAGGATGTATTTTCATTGTTACAAATTAAACATAATTAAAGCATAGTGATTAATCACAAAAACAATATGTAATTATATATGTGTTTTCTGATGGTCTTAGGCGACCCCTGTGAAAGGGTCGTTGGACCCCCAAAGGGGTCGCGACCCAGAGGTTGAGAACCGCTGCTCTAGAGACTAAATATCTGAGAGGACGTGGAACAGGGGCATCGGCTGTTGTCAGCTTTTCCAGATCCTTAACTTTTGAACAAATATTCTTATCTAATTTTACCACTCTTTAATGTTAGAGCTAAAACCATGAAACATAAGGCCGTTTTATCGTTTCCTTCGGTCGTTAAACAGTATTAATCACTTACCATGTGCTGAGGATCCACTGGGCTCTGAGCCAGACGGATGGGTTAATACACGGGCGTGGGGGTGGGGTGGGGTGGGGTGGGGAGGACATTAGGGACCAAGACCTCGGTGGGGCCCCAGAAAGCTCACAGGAGGGGCCTCGGATCGTGCCTGGGGAGGGACGGGGGAGGGAAGGATTCCTGGAAGGAGGAGGACCTAAGTTGAGTGTTTCTATTTTTAATTTTTTTATTGGGTTCCTGAAACATAAAAGTAACACATTTGTTGGGAGGGCGGGAAAAAAGTCAAAATTACAGGAGTATATTTATTAAGAAGTAAAAATCCTCACCGGTGTCCCTCCAGTCTGATGCTGAAACTAAGTAACAAAAATTACATGATCACTTATCCGAACCGAGAGACATTTTAGGAGCTTAGCGGGTAGGTCCGTACTATGAAAGCATAAAACGAATCCTACTTTCTATAATGCATTTACAAACCTGCAAACAGCTCGTGTTCTTACTTTTAACGGACTTTTCAATGATCTTTTCGGCCTTTGGGCAAGTTTGGAGCGCCAGGTTTCGAACAGCGAGTCTACTTACTGCATGCCCAATAGACGCGAAGGCTTCCCAAAGGGGCGAGAAACGCGACCTGGCGACAGCACTGCGGGGTCTAGCCGACGGGCTCGCCCGGTGACAATCGGTCGGAGTTTCTCGCTCGGTCCCGAGGAGCCGAGGAGCGCGGACCTTCCCGTCCGCGGCGCGGGCGGCACACCCTCCCTGGCGCGGCACGGAGCCCGGTCCTCGCTCCGCTCCGCGGCAATGCCGCCGCCTTCCGCCCGCCGCCCGCCGCCACCCCAGCCCCGTGGCGGGCCCCACGGCCACGGAGCCTGGCCACGGAGCCTGGCCACGGGCACTGACCACCTACCCTTCGGGTCGAGAGTCCCGCGGAACTCAGGCGAGGCAGCTCAGGCTGTCGCCACTGCGGCCATGACGGCAAAGCCGGGGAAGTGCCGCGCGATGCCCGCTGAGCTGAGCTGAGCTGAGCTGGAGAGCCGCCCCGTCCGTGTGGCCGTCTGTCCAGCAGGAGAGTGAGGCCAGAATCCGCCCGGCCGCGCCTAAATCAAGGCTCGGGGCGGTGCCGACGGCTTGAGTGACAAGTGGCAGATGCCGTGGGCTTTGCCGCTTGGCAGCCGCGAGGATGGCTGCAGAGGGGAGGCCGTGCAGGCGGAGCCCGAGCCGGAACGGCGCGTCTGCGGGGAGGGAGGGCGGGAGGGCGCTGGGGCCCCCGGCGGGGGCGTCACGTGGCAGGAGGAGGCCCCGCTGGGGAGCCGGGGGTCGGCGGCCTGGGCGGGGGAGCGGGACCGGCGCCCAGACGCCTGGCCGATGGAGTCATGCGTGCGCGCAACGCCAAGGTCGTCCAGGTGCCGCGCTGGCGCAGGTAAACCCGAGGCGGCCCGAAGCCCCCACGGTCACGACAAACATGCACCGAGGTCCCCGCCGGGATGATCCGCCCAGAGCCCGATCCTAACCGAGAAACGGGCAGATGTGAGGGGGGCAGGACCGCAGGCCACACGCTTGCTCTTGCTCGTACCGGAGCAGCGTTGAGCAACGGCAGCTTCGCTGTGACCACTAGCTGTGAGCGAGGCCCTGGTCTCAGCCCTTGACGGGCAAAAAGGTGCCTCTCACGAGAACCCCTGAGCAAGACCGTTGTTCCCGTCTGACAGAGGAAGGCACGAAGGCACAGAGGGATTAGATGGAAACAATTGTATAGTTTGGCGGTCATACTATGTATGCCGGGAGCAATTTTAAAACGGTCCAATGTTTTTGAATTTAAGAAAAAGAAACGGAAGCAAACCTCCGGCGGTTATTTCTTCCTTACCAGATATACATTCCTAAGAGCCCTATAAACACGAAGTAAAGAGATTGGGGAAGATAAGGAATGCACTGCATATTTCAGGGCCTCGCAGCTCTGAAAGACGCGGCTAACAGCACGTTCCACCCATCTGCACCGCAGCCTCCCAGTTTCCATCGCCTCTGTTACTGTTGGCTGAGGGCGCTGGAACATTGACCAGTTCTCTGCCCCGCCTTATCCCTCAGACATTCCGTCTCAATCCTATATTTAAATGGATTCAAGGTTCACCCTAACCTATCCATTCCTAAATGCTTTATTTTTCTTTATTTTTGGTGGACTGCTCTTTTTCAAGTAGTTTTCTTAAGAAGGGCGATAGAGTACCTTAACATTTTATCTGTGTATGTAGTTTTTTATTTAAAAAATCTGTATACATAAGAAAAAACTGAGCGGGGTAAATATTTTGGAATGACACCTTCCTTCAAAAGGTAACAGAACCAGAAGGCAATTGGTTCACTGATTTTTGACATAGGTTTCTGTGGGGAATCAGAATCCCATGTGATTTTTCCTTACCAAGTGATTCGATTTTTCTCGTTGGATGCCTTAAATTCTTTACCATTAAAGTACACTTTATATCCTTATCCGGGCTATGGCTCAGCGTCAATTATTCCACATCCCCCAATATATAGTATTATCTTTCAGCTTATGAGTTCCATTCTTCTTAGTACAGTATCCCATTCATATCATATATCTGAATAAATTTCTTTCATTGGTTGGATTTTCTGCTTCAGAGTCACCATTTATCCTTATACTTGATCTTTTTCTTCAACATACATCTTCTTTCTATTTGCACTAACTCTGATTCTCTCAAAATATTCTGCTCATTGGTTTTTGTAGTTTACTGGATTTTAAAGTCACATTGTTTAGAATTTCAATTTTCTTAGCTCTGCAATTTCCTTTTTCATCTTATATTGTTGTTGAGCTATTTTGAGGACTCCATTCTTAATTGTTTTTTTTCTGTAGAGTGAAACACATATAAGGAAGATAAATTTCTGTTCCTTGGTTGTTTTCTTCCAGACTTGGTTCTTCATTTGCTTTTTGCATGCTATTTTCCTTGTTTTACACTCCCATCTCCCATGCTATAGCATGTTTGCATAACAGCCAAATTGTAATTTGTAACTTGCTTATCCTTAAAAGTTAACAACAGACCTTGTATTTGAGCTAATATATACAAGTGAACTCCTGAGACGTGTCGGTCTTCCCTATCCTGAGATCCTGTTTTTGGGCTGAATGTTGTTTCTGCCTTTTCTGTGACTGGAGGGTCTTCAAATGAGGGCAGAGGCGATGGGGGATTGTGGAACTCAGATTGAGACTGAGTGTAGAGCTGACTGGGGGAAATCAGCCATCACTTCTGAGATTCCTTGATATCCTCACCAGCCCACCTTCAAGGCAGTCAAGGGATTATCCCGAGCCTATGAGCTTCAGCTCATTGGCCCAGTTTGGCCCAGTACCCTAGAAGGTGGCAAACTTTCCTGCAAGATCCAGCGGTGTGTAAAGCGTCTTTGGTGTTTCACAGAGACTTCACTGACTTCTTTCCTAATTGGGAGACATTTGTGAAAATTCTCAGGATTTGGTCTGATCATCTTTTCCCTCAGTATGTCATGCAGCAGGAATTGGGAGGAATAAAGGGGGGAGGGGGTGCAAACTAAATCCAATGACACACCACATATCAACAGAAACTTTTTTAAAAATTGAATAGAGAGAGAGAGAGAGAGAGAGAGAGAGAGAGAGAGAGAGAGAGAGAGGTTCTAGAACAGAAGTTGCAAACTCAAATACATATGAAGTGTAAAATAATGAGGAATGAAATGATGGTAAACTGAAAAAACATCCTTTGTGTAAGGAGCAGATGCTGTGCAGCTCCGGCCAACTGCTGCCATGTTGGAATTCAGGGCAGTGTTGCCAAATCTGTATAATCTTCCGGGAAGGCATGCTATCTAGTATTTCAATATAAAATTTCCTAATTTTGGAAGCGTTACGGAAGCCAAATGAAGTATCCCTCACAGGCCAAACTGGAACCAAGGGTTACCAGTGTGATACCTATTACAGAGAACCACTCAGGAGAAATTCCACGGTTACTGTTTTTCTCTTCTAAGTATTCTGAGGTACAGTTTTGTTCTACAGACTCCTCAATGACTTCTTAAAATGACTTTAGAAATATAAAGCAGGAGGATTCATGCCAACATATTTACCATTTGATACATGCCAGGACCCAACACTCTCACGAACAGGTGTTGCTAAGGGCAGTGGCTATGGGATCAAGCTAAAATTAATACCATGTGAACAGAGAATCTATATGGATTATGACCACATTAACAAAATATGTAGAGAAAATATTTTTCAATTGATGCAGAAAAGGCATCTGACAAAATCCAACACCCATTCTTGGAAAGAAAGAAAAAAGAACTAGGAAAAAAAATGAAGCTTCCTCAAGCTGATAATGGGTGTATTTGTTTCCTATGGTTGCTACAGTAAATTAGCACAACTTTGTGGCTAAAACAAGAAAGTTACTCTCACAATTCTGGAGGCCAGGAGTCTGAAGCACCGTGTCCGTGAGGCTTCACTCCCTCTAGTGGCTCTGTTGGAAAATCCTACCTTGCCTCTTCCAGCTTTTGGTGGCTGGTGGTATTCTCTGGCCTCTTTGGCTTCTGGCCACATCACTCTAACCTCTGCCTCCATTTTTACATAGTCTTCTCCTCTGTATGTGTCATGACTTTTCTCCTCTGTGTGTTTATCTTCTAAGGAAACTTGTAATTGGATTTAGTTTGCACCTGAATAACTCGAGAGGATGTCCCCATCTCTAGATCCTTAACTTAAATACATTTGCAAAGATCCTTTATTCCAAATAAGGTAATATTCACAGTTTCAAGGATTAGGACATGGACATATATTTGGTTGGGTCATTCTTTCAACCCTTATACTGGGGAAAATCCCAGTCGGCTTTGTTGTGGAAATTGACAAGCAGATTCTAAATTTTATATAGAACTGAAAAGTGCCTAGGAGAGCAACAGTGAAAAAGAGGAACAAAATTGGAAGACTTACATTACCTGATTTTAAGGCCTACTATAAAGCTACCATAATCAAGGCAGGATGGTACTAACATAAGAATAAATGGAACAGCCCTAGCCGGTTTGGCTCACTGGATAGAGCATCGGCCTGGGGACTGAAGAGTCCCGGGTTTGATTCCGGTCAAGGGTATGTACCTTGGTTGCAGGCACATCCCCAGTAGGGGGTGTGCAGGAGGCAGCTGATTGATGTTTCTAACTCTCTATCCTCTCCCTTCCTCTCTTTAAAAAATCAATAAAATATATATTTTTAAAAAAGAATAAATGGAACAATATATTGAGCCCAGAAATAGACCCACATATATGATCTATTGATTTTTGACAAAGGTATCACAATTCCATTGGAAAAAAAATAAATGGTGGGGGAGCTGGTCATCTATATAGAGGAAAAAAAATAAACTTATACTTACATCATGTACAAAAATTAAATCAAATTAGATCACAGACCTAAATAAGAAGCAAGAACTACAAAACTTCTAGAACTGCCCTGTCCAATATGGTAGCCACTAGCCATACCACTGAGAAACATGCTCCAGGATAAATTCAGGTTTCAAAGACTTCAGTGAAAAATACAATGTGATAACTTTTATATTGACTGCATGTTGAAATGATAATATTTTTGATATATTGGTTTAAATAAAATACATGATTTAAATTAATTTCAATTTTTTTTTATTTTTTAGTGTAGCTACTAGGAAAAGCTACATATGCGGCCAGCATAATATGGGGTGGGCAAAAGTAGATTTACAGTTGGGTGTACATAAAAGAGTTCATTCTTGTCTTACTAATTTATTGTATTATTTTCCAACTGTAAACCTACTTTTGCACACACTGTATTTCTGATAGCATAGTTCTAGAAGAAAACCTAGGTATAGGTAAAGATTGCTTGCGTATGACATGAAGAGCAATGACCATAAAATAATAAATTGTTAATTGGATTTTTACCAAAAACAAAACCTTCTGTTCTCCAAAAGAAACCATTAAGGAATTGAAAAGTCAAGCTACATACTAGGATAAAAGTATTCACAATACATATACCTAACATAGGACTTGTTTCAGAATATTTAAAGAGCTCATACAGCCCGGCTGGCATGGCTCAGTAGTTGAGCGTCGACTTACGAATCAGTAGATCATAGTTCGATTCCCAGTCAGGGCACATGCCCAGGTTGCAGGCTCGATTCCCAGTGTGGGGCGTGCAGGAGGCAGCTGGTCAATGATTTTCTCATCATTGATGTTTCTATCTCTCTTCCTCTCTGAAATCAATAA